AAAAAAAAAATGTAATGTTCCTGACTCATCAAATGAGCAAAAATCCAGAAGGCAATATACACTGGTGGTAAGGCTGAGGAGAAATAACCACTCGTTCATTAGTGGTAGAAGCACAAAAGGTCACAAGCCTGATGTCAAAATCTATCAAAAATACAGATACATTTACCTTCTAAGCTAGCAATCCCACTTCTGGGAATCTATTCAACAGGGATCAAGAAAAATGGCCCACAAGCATAGATGTTTTCTGACTCTACACTTTCAAAATAATAAAAAAAATAGCCAAAGATACCTTGTTTTAATATCAGAAGACAGAAAAACCACCCACAATCCCCATTCCTTACACTCCAATAATTAAATGTAGCCAGTCTTGGAAAAAGCATGGTCTTATATACCATACATCAAAAGAAAAGCTACATTCAATTTTTAGAACTATTAATTTACAGGCAACGTTTTCTAACTGCTGCTATTTCATACTGTGAGGTAAAAAGTCTGCCCTATATAATGCTGATGTGATCTAGAGGGGAATTGCTCCAAAAATAGTCTCACTGGTGCGGTTTTGGGGACTGTATTGATCACCTCTCTCTGCAGCCCAGCTGTAGAATAGTGCTAACATGAAAATGCTTTATCTATGTAACAAACAAATGATATGGAAAAAATTGTAGCCAATGTTTTCATGTACATTGACTGAATCCTTGGAAAAATCCAAGTAAAGAGCCCGGTTTTAAATCAATCATTTATCTTCTTTTTCTCTGCAGTACATCTCTTCACACATTGCAGACTTTAAAAGTGAAATGTTTGAGAAACTCCTTAAGCACATTTGTCATTGTGCAGATGAATTCCGGGAGGTCATAAAAATGGACATGCGGAGGCAGATGTTTGCTGAACTCTTCCTGCATTGTGACCGTGGGAAGGTAGGATAAGACCCTTAAAGCAGTGCTTCTCAAACTGTTTTTTTGTGAAGAACCAGTTTTTAGGTTGTTGTTGGTGTGGATGGTGCTGTTTTTAATTGCTAATCCATTGTGGACTGACACTCAATGAATATGGATTGCTAGGGGGAAAAATGCACATACAAAATACAACCCACATTTTTAAAAAAGATTTTATTTATTTATTTGAGAGAGAGACAGAGAGAGCATGAACTACCGGTACAAATTTGGCTACCACCGTGCTTGGTTGGGACAGAGGGGGGCAAGGGAGAGGGAAAGGGATAAGCAGACTTCCTGCTGATCGGGGAGCCCGACGCAGGGCTCAATCCCAGGACCTTGAGATCGTGACCTGAGCCGAAGTCAGACTCTCAACTGACTGAGCCACTCAGGTGCCCCCAATCCATATTTTTTATTATCGGATTCCAGTCCGATTTATTATCACTTTCTCTAATTGTTATAAAATTTTCTAGCTACTATTCTCAGTTTCTGTACCTTTCTTGTCACAGAGTGGTACCAGCCTGTAGATCACATCTTACATGGCACTGCATTTTACAATGTACATCTTGTCTCTAAGTCTCTTTCCCATTCTTAAGAATGGGTTGCTTAAGACTGTTTTTGCTTACTGTCTTTGCTGGTGGCTTCCTATAGAAAGGAGTTGTTGGGAATAGAAAGCTTACCACATTTTATTATGCTGCTTCTTAAAATAAGAAAAGTTGATATCTAAAAGTATTTCTAAGAATGGTATTTGGAAGGATACAGTATGCCAGGATACCAAATGGATTTATAAAAGTAGATACAAGCTTTATTAAAATACATTTGTGGGGCACCTGGGTGGCTCAGTCACTTAAGCGTTTGCCTTTGGCTCAGGTCATGATTCCAGGATCCTGGGATCAAGTCCCCCATCAGGCTCCTTGCTCAGCAGGGAGCCTGCTTCTCCCTCTGCCTGTGCTCCCCTTGCTTGTGCTCTCTCTCTTTCTGACAAATAAATAAAATCTTTAAAAAAATACGTTTGTTTATGAACTTTATATTTGTTTGTATCCCCATGCTCCAGAAAAGATTTAAGGAAGCTTATGAAATTAGATAAAATGCAACAAAGGAACATAAAGATAAAAAGTAGGATGAAAGAAGAAAAAAATGAGAGGATACTAAATGAAGCTGGGAACAAAGCCCAAATTGCATACTATAATGACCTAAATATTTGTTCTGGGTCATCTACAAGTTTGAATCTAAGCTAGGTTCCTAGCAGTGAACATGAAAAGGGAAACATAACTAAATACTCTATTGACAATGTTTGTGAGATAAATATAAACTGGTGTTGAGAAGAAGCACAAATATTGAATAACCCTTGCAGCAAGGAATAAGTCCCACTTGAGTGGTGAATGATTCTTTAAAGGTACTGTTGGATTTGATTTGCTAGTATTTTATTGAAAATTTTTGCATCCATGCTCATCAGAGATATTGGCCCATAGTTCTCTTTTTTTAGTGGAGTCTATCTGGTTTTGGTATCAGGGTAATCATGGCCTCAGAATGGATTTGGAAGTTTTCCTTTTTCTTTCTTTCTTTCTTTCTTTCTTTCTTTCTTTCTTTTTCTTTCTTTCTTTCTTTTCTTCCTTTCTTCCTTTCTTTCCTTCTTTCCTTTTTTGAATAGTTTGAGAAGAATAGGTATTAACTCTTCTTTAAATGTTTGGTAGAATTCCCCTGTGAAGCCGTCTGGCCCTGGACTTTTGTTTTTTGGGAGATTTTTGATTACTGATTCAATTTCTTTGCTGGTTATCAGTCTGTTCAAGTTTTGTATTTCTTCCTATTTCAATTTTGGTAGTGTATATGTTTCTAGGAATTTATCATTTCTTCCAGATTGTCCAATTTGTTGGCATATAGTTTTTCATAATATTCTCTTATGATTGCTTGTATTTCTGTGGTGTTGGTTGTTAGTTCTCCTCTCTCATTTGTGATTTTATTTATTTGGATCCTTTCTCTTTTTGATAACTCTAGCTAGGGTTTATTAATTTTATTAATTTTTTTAAAGAACTAGCTCCTGGTTTCATTGATTTGTTCTATTGTTTTTTTAGTTTCTATATCATCTATTTCTGCTATAAGCTGTATTATTTCCCTTCTTCTGCTGGCTTTAGGCTTCATTTGTTGTTCTTTTTCCTGCTTCGTAGGTGTAAGGTTAGGTTATTTGAGATTTTTCTTGCTTCTTGAGGTAGGCCTGATACAGCCACTCTGGAAAGCAGTATGGAGGTTCCTCAAAAAGATAAAATTAGAACTACCCTACCATCCAGCAATTGCAGTACTAGGTATTTACCCAAAGAATACAAAAATACTAATTTAAAGGGATACATGCACCCCGACGTTTATAGCAACATTATCAACAATAGCCAACTTATGGAAAGAGCCCAAATATGCATCAATTGATGAATGGGTAAAGAAGATGTGGTATATATACATCTATGTATAGATGTATATATATATAGAGAGAGAGAGAGAATTTATTATTAAGTATCACTCAGCCATAAAAAAGAATGAAATCTTGCCATTTGCAACAACGTGGGTGGAGCTAGAGAGTATTATGCTAAGCAAAATAAGTCAGAGAAAGACAAATACCATAGGATTTCACTCATATATGGAATTTAAGAAACAAAACAAATGAACATGGGGGGAAAATGAGGCAAACCAAGAGACAGACTCTTTTAAAAAAATTTTAATTTAAATTTTAGTTAACATACAATGCAATATTGGTTTCTGGAGTAGAATTCAGTGATTCTACAACACCCAGGCACCCCCAGACTCTTAATTATGGAGAACAAATGGATGGTTACCAGAGGGAAGGTGGGTGGGGGGATGGGTTAAATAGGTAATGGGGATTAAGGAGGGCATTTGTTTTGATAAGCACCAGGTGTTGTATATAGGTGTTGAATCACTTAATTCTACACCTGAAAATGATATTTTTTTAAAGATTTTTTTTATTTATTGAGAGAGAAAGAGAATGATAGAGAGCATGAGAGGGAGGAGGGTCAGAGGGAGAAGCAGACTCCCTGCTGAGCAGGAAACCCAATGCGGGACTTGATCCCGGGACTCCAGGATCATGACGTGAGCCGAAGGCAGTCGCTCAACCAACTGAGCCACCCAGGCGCCCTACACCTGAAAATAATATTACACTGTATGTTAACTAACTGGAATTGAATAAAATCTTTTTTTTTTTTAAAGTTCAGGGGCACCTGGGTGGCTCAGTTGGTTAAGTGTCTGACTCTTGATTTCATGATCTCAAAATTGTGAGACTGAGCCCCACGTTGTGCTCTGCACCAAGTGTGGAGCCTGCCTGAGATTCTCTCTCTCCCTTTCCCTGTCCCCCCTCCCCCCTCCCTCTCCAAAAAGAAAAAGAAGAAGTACAGAAATTTGGGATTCAAAGTATAGTCAACAGTTTCTCCTGGAAGTACTCATTTAAAGGGCTCCATGCAATGAAGTGAACATCCTTTATAATGATCTTATAATAGATGAAACAATGGCTTTCTTAGGTCACTTTCTTATAACTACCTTAAGTATAAGCAAATGACACCACATAAGACTACAATTCAGAAAAAGCAAATATTTTTGAGAGAGAGAGAGAGTACAGCAGAGGGAGAGAGAGAATCTTAAGCAGGCTCCCGTCCCAGTGCGGAGCCCTGCACGAAGCTTAATCTCATGGCCCTGAGATCGTGACCTGAGCTGAAATGAAGAATTGGTTGCTTAACTGACGGAGCTACCCAGGCACCCCCAAAAAAGCAATTCTTAAAGGAGCCAATATATTGTAGTCTAGGTTCTCAGATCCCTGCCAATTTGGTTTAAGTAAGGAATATATTTTATAAAATCTGAAATGTCTATGCATCTTTCAGGCAATCCTCCTTGAATATTGCTTTTTTTAACAGAGCTTATAATAATAAATATTGGGTGACATGGGGGTTGAGATTTTTCTCCCTGGTAAATGCCTGGAGAACAACTATTCTTTCTGGCCACTGTAATACCAACTCATGTGCCATAACAAACATAGTTGGATAATATTTAGAGGAGTTGGCTGTGGTTTGCTTGTGCTCTTTTATTTTCTTCTCAGCATTCAAACAGTATTTATGTGCTGATCTTGGAGGGGAAGTAGATACAGTCTAGAATAAAGAAGTTAATTGAGTTTCTGAATGTTTTTAACCAGTAGCTGAAAAAAGAGTTCAAAAAAGAGTTCAACTGAAAATGCCGAGCTCTTCATATGTGGAATTTAAGAAACAAAACGGATCATAGGGGAAGAAAGGAAAAAATAAAACAAGACAAAATCAGAGAGGGAGACAAACCATAAGAGACTCTTTTTTTTTTTTTTAAAGTTTTTATTTATTTGACAGAGAGAAACACAGCGAAAGAGGGAACACAAGCAGGGGGAGTGTGAGAGGGAGAAGCAGGCTTCCCGTGGAGCAGAGAGCCCGATGCGGGGCTCGATCCCAGGACCCTGAGATCATGACCTGAGCCGAAGGCAGACGCTTAAC